TGAAAAGTGAATTTACTCTGTAAATCTTCACCCAAATCCTAATAATAATAATAATAAAAGGCTATATATTATATAATTCCAATTATATCACATCCAGAATAAGGCAAACATATAGAGACAAAAAAAAAAGATTCATTGTCAGAGGCTGAGAATGAAAAGTATTCTATATCTTGATTGCAGTGGTGGTTGCATGACTGTATATATTTATTAAAAGCAATTAAACTGTAGTTTATCAGTAAGTGAATTTTACCATATAGAAATTCTACTTCCAAAAAGAAAAAAGAAATGGTATAATATTGCTTTCCCCCATAAATCTCTTGAATTCAGTTTTAATGGAATTATAAGTGTACAGGAATAGTAAAAGGAAGGAAAAAATAGCAATGGAGAAGAATAAGACATGAAAAGATTAGTTTAGATTCCTTTGTTTGTTATTGAATAGAGCAGATATTTCTTTACTTGGATTTACAATGTTCTCTGGCCTTGGTATACCTTGAATATATCTCAGCCACAATCTTGTCATTATTATTGTTGTTATTTTACTATTGTTAAACCCAAATCTATTCACTTTACTTAGAGATAATTATTTTCCTCTGTCAGTGAATATCTTTAAGTTCCAAAAGGTCATTGCTATTCTGTTAGATGTGAGTAGAGATAACGTTTTATTGTGCCTGTTTTGTTTTTGTATGAAATTAATTGGAACACCTCATTAAATGACATTCTATTTGGGTGGACATGGTCAAAGAATTGTTAAAATGGACTCTACAGTGAATACTAAATAGGATGTTGCCTTTTCAGAACATTATAGAGAAGCATGGGTCAATGACTCTTCAGAGCCCTCAGCAGACACCTCTTCACAGTCACTAAAGAACCTGCAGGATGATGGTGTCCACAAGATTCATGTGGAGAAAGACTTTGTTGCTTTCTGCTCTTCAACACCACGTATGTGTCTTTCATTTGTGGGTAGTGATTTGTGGGGATGAGTATTCCTTGCCTGCATGATTTGACCCATTGTTTTAGGAAAAAAAAAAAAACAGACTAAATGTCGTGGAAATTATTGGAATTTATAAATGAGTGGAGAGACCATTTATGTTTCTGCAACCTTCTTTTATAGCTATTTTCTAATGGCCCTGCCTCCTTCTCTCTCTACATCTACCTATATGCCTGTCTTCTATAACCTGTTAGGAAATGATGAGCCAGTACATAGAGAGTAGTTTGTTGTTTTTTTTAACTGCATCCAGTATTCAGAATAGATTTTTTTTTTACACCTGAGGAAGTTTTTAAAAGAAAAAGAACACATGACCTCTTTTTCAAAAAGTGCATTTCATAATTGGAAAAGTAAGGGATTGTGGTAAGAAATATTGTTTATAAAACATCAATTAGTAACAATTTGGTGGGATTATGACCTAGGGATAGTAAAGAGTTTTAAATGATCAGTTAAGAAAGCTACCATATTTAAGATGATCAATTTGGAAAAAAGGAGATGATGTAGTAGAAAGAAGGGAATTCCCAGTGACAACAGACTGGGAGAAGTGGGAAATGGTAGACTGAATTTTTAAATTGTCAAAGCAAAACTTTTAATCATAAATGAGAAGTAAGTCAGCATTGCTGATATAGATAGATGATAGATACAGGTAGATAGATAGATAGATAGATAGATAGATACCCCACTGCCATCCAGTCAGATCTAACTCTTAGCGACCCCTCCTTGGGTTTCTGAGGCAGTATCACTATGGAAGTAGATTGCCCAACCTTCCTTCCAAGGAGTGGCTGGTAGGTTTGAACTGCCAGCCTTAGACAAATAGACAGGCTTAATTTTCTTCAGTACATCTCTGCCAAGTCTGCCAAGTAAGTGCTATTATCCCACTCTTAGAGACAAGGAAATTGAAACTCACAAAAAGTATATAAATTATCCAAGTAAATACAGGTAATATGGTAGGATTTTGCCAGATAGGAATACAAGTCAATTTTACTCTGAAATGTAGGGTTTTTTTTGTATACCAACAATTATAGCATGGAGGCCATATTCTGAGGGTGCAGTGACTAAAGCATTTGACTGCTAATCAGAAGGTTGGTGGTTCAAACCCACCAGTTGCTGCATGGAAGGAAGATGGGGCAATCTACTTCAGTAAAAATTTACCACAATGGAAACCTAATGAGGGTCACAATGAGTGGGAATTGATTCAACGGCAGTGGGTTATATTATTTGGAACTGTAGACCATTCCAAACTTGGATACATGTTGTTTTTTGGTAGTTGCAAGTAAGGGCTACTTGAAAGCCAGAGCTTAGCAGTCATGGCAAAAGCCATCTCTGTTCATGGCTGATAGGGAAATTGGCCCAACTGATGTCAACTAAGAGAGACCACCTTTCTGAGAGAGACAGAAGTGAGTTCAGTAACTATTCCATCAGTTTATAGTTTTCTCACCTTGGTCAAGTTTTCAAGAACAACTGACAAAATGTTTGTTAGAAAATACAGCCTATAGTATCAATTTCAACATTTCAGTTTTATATTCTGTACTATGGCTCTAGAGTCCTATTTCCTTGCTGATGATGTTGTAACAATTATATGATATCTTTTATGGTTGAATATAATCCCATTATCCTATTATATGTATAAAGAGTCAGACACAGAATCTATTTATTTCTCCTATTTGCTTAAATCTGCCAAAGATATTTACAGTCCAAGACTTTTAGAAAAGATGATGGTTGTAGCTCAAGTTTATTTTTTCTTTTATTCTCAGATGATGTTTCCTGGAGAAATGAAAATGGTTCTCTCTTTATCACACAACTTATAAATTGTTTCCAAAAATATTCTTGGTGTTGTGATCTGATGGAAATATTTAGGAAGGTGAGTTCCATATTCTCTGTTACACTCATTTATCTATTCATAAAAACAAAAACAGATGTATATTAAACCCATCCACACATTTCATACACATTATAGGTTATTATTCATACTGTGGTGCATTTTGCTTTTTAATTATTCCAAGCTAATGGTACTATGCACTGATAAGCAAAGAATGTGAATAAATACTAAATTTCTGTATTTCATATATTAAAAATTGGGGAGATAAGGAAGAGTTAGAAAGTCAGTAGAAGTATTGTAGAATAAATACAGTCTCTGAAAATAATATGTGTTGTGGAATAGAATTTACTTAAATATTCAGATTTTTGGAAAAATTGGGTATAAAACTTAAATTTTTGATAGGTATTTATTATATTTCATAATAAATAAGCTCTGGTGCTTCATGGTGCAGAAAAAGCTGTAAATATCATAGACCCAATCACAATTTCATAGCCAATATCCTAGCAAAAGATAGAGATCACAAAAACCACATCATCCAAACATATAATTTTCAATTTCTAGTGACAAGAAGTTACAGTATCCATAGAGAGAGAATAAAGAAGATGTGTTTGTCAGAAAAGTTAAAGGTTGATGGAATAGGGTCATTTTTTGTCAGTGTATTGCTTTCAAGTACACAAGGAAAATTTACCAAAAAAATATTTTCTGGATCATAAATAAAGTTTCAATAAATTTAAAAGAATTCAAGCCATACAAATATGTTCTGTAATAACACTTGAATCAATTTAAAATCAAGAATAGGTAGGTCTCTGGTAAATCTTGAGATATTTGAAAATTAAAAATACATTTAAAAATAACAAATGGATCAAAGAAGGAATTAAAATCAAAATTACACAATAATTTTAACTGAATATAAATTACAATACAGCATATCAAAAACTGTTTGGTAGGAAATGTAAGGAGACCTGATGACAATAATCAAAGCACTGGTTGCTAGTCAAAAGGTCTGCAGTTCAAACTCACCAGTGGCTCCATGGGAGAAAAGACCTGGTGACCTGCTTCTGTAAAGAAACCCTTTGGGGCAGTACTACTCTGTACTATAGGGTCTCTCTAAGTAGGAATCGACACACTGGCACATAAGATAACAATAACACTTGATGGTATTGTAACACAAGAGAGTTCTCAAATCATTAACTTCATCTTCTACCTTAAGAAGCTAGAAAAAGAAGAGCAAATGAAAATAAAAATAACAATAATAGAAGTAACAGAGATGAGTTAAAATTAGTAAATTGAAAAACATAAGTACAGTAGAGAAGATAAATGTTATCAAACACTGGTTCTTTTAAAAGCTTAATAAAATTGACAAAACTCTAACTAGACAGAAGGGAAAAAATGAGACAAATTACTAGTATCAGGAATAAGAGAACTGGCATCATTTAAGGTTAAACATATATTAAAAGGATAAGGAAAAATATGAATATCATTCTGCAAATAATTACAACTTCTTATATGAAATGGATAATTTTTTTTAAAAATACACAGAATACTAAAGCTCATCAAGGAGAAATAGATACATGAATAGACCTATGTGAACTACACAAATTGAACTTGTGTTTAAAAACATTTTCACAAAGAAAATTCCAGGCCAGATGACTTTCATGTGAATTCAGTCAAACATTTAAAGAATAAATGACATCAATTCTAGAGACATTCTGTTAGATAATTAAAATTAGGAACTTATTTTATGAGACCATGTTTCACTGATATCAAAATCTGGTAAAGACATTAGAATGGGAGAAAACAGATAAATATTCCTCATAAATATAGATTCAAAAGTCCTAACAAAATTTAAGCAAATCAGATCCAGCAATGTATCAAGATGAAAATAACTCATGAGTAAATGTGGTTTATCCAAGGAGTTAAAGATTGGCTTCACATGCAAAAAAATCTGGATGGTAGATGTAGAGATTGTTCAGTTAGCATATGTTTTGTTATGCATATTTCACTACAGTTTTTTAGAAACCAACCATTATAACTCCTCATATTCTCACATCCCAAAAAAAAAGCCATAAGATCATAACAATAGACCTAGAACAACTATTTGACACATTATAATATACCTGTCTTATAAAGATTCTCAACAACCTAAGTGGAGACCTTTTTTTACAACAAAAGAACATCCATGACACTGTAGTAAGTATATAGCTATCTTTCGTATAACTAACTTGATTTAATAGGGAAAGAATAAATTTTTTCTCCTAAGATTGGGAAGATCTGGTGGAATAGTGTCTAAGGCATTTGACTGCTAACCTGAAAGCTGACAGTTCAAACTCACCAGCCACTCCTCAGAATGAAGACTTGGCAATCTACTTCCATAGAGATACCACCTCAGAAACCCAAGGAGGGGGTCGCTATGAGTCACAATCCACTCAATGTGTTGAGTTTGGTTTTTCATAAGATCAGGAACAAGAAGTAGATGGTTGATATCACTAGTTCTACTGATTATACTGGAGGTATAGCAAGTACAATAAGGCAAAAAAAAAAAGTATATATGTATATATATGTTCATATATATGTATATATTTAAATGTGAAGCATGTTATATGTAAATAAATCTAATATTTTTAAAAAATCTATATGTATGAAAATAATCCAAAGGAAAACACAAAAAATGTGGTGAGAATCAATAAGTGATTTTAACAAGGTTTTATGATACAATATCATAATTGATAAATGAATTAATTATATTTGGAATTACAATAATGAAGAATTAGATATAATAATTTAAAAAGCACTTACCATTAACCACCTCAGAAACCCAAGGAGGGGTCACTATGAGTCAGATCTGACTTCACAGCAATGGTTGCATTTTTTTGTGTTACCATTTACAATATTCCAAATATATGAAATACCAGTAAAATTAGTTATTGTGAAGTCATTTCCAATTCATGTCAATCCTATGGATGCCAGAGTATAACCATGCTTCATAGGGCTTTCTATGGCTGATTTTTCTGAAGTAGATCAGCACTTCTCTGCCAGTTTATCAGTTTGTGTGGTGGCCTGTGTGTTGCTATAAGGCTGGAAGCTATGCCACTGGTATTTCAAGTACCATCAGGGTCACCCATAGTGGACAGATTTCAGTGTAGCTTCCAGAATAATATAGACTGGGAATAGGGATACAGCCATCCACTGAAAAAATTGTCCATTAAAAAAACCTTATGAATAGCAGTGAAACAGTGTCTGAAGTATTACTGGAATACTTTATGAATAGCAGTGAAGTGAAATATTGTCTGATGCTATGGCTGAGGATGAGCCCCTCAGGTTGGAAAGCTCTCAATATATGACTGGGGAAGAACTGCCTCCTAAAAGTATTGTCAATTTTAATGACATGATGGAGTAAAGTTTTCAGGACCTTCCTTTGTTGATGGGTCATGACTCAAAATAAGGAGAAACAGCTGCAAGCATTCATTAATAATTGAACCATAGAATGTAATAAGTATAAATCTAGAAAAATTGGAAGTTGTCAAAAATGAAATGGAATGCATAACGATCAATATCCTAGGCATTAGTTAGCTGAAATGAGGTGGTACTGGCCACTTTGAGTGAGAAAACCATATTATACCAGGAACGACAATTGAAGAGGAATGGCATCACATTCATTGTCAAAAAGAACATTTCAAGATCTTTCCTGAAGTTCAATACTGTCAGTGATAGGATAATGTCCATATGCCTACAAGGAAGACTAATTAATACTTCTATGATTCAAATTTATCCACCAAACACTGAAGACAAAGATGAAGAAATTGAATATTTTACCACCATTTGCAGCCTGGAATTGACCAAATATGCAATCAAGATGTATTGATAACTAATGGTGATTCGAATGTGAAAGTTAGAAAAAAGAAGCTTCAGTAGTTGGAAAATATGGGCTCAGTGATAGAAATGATGCTGGAGACCATATGATAGAATTTTGCAAGACCAATGACTTATTCATTGTGAACACTTTTTTACAGCAAAATAAATGGTGGCTATAGACATGGACCTTACCAGATGAAATACACAGGAATCAAATAGAATACATCTGTGGAAAGAAATTATGAAGAAGCTCAATATCATCAGTGAGAACAAGGCCAAGAGATGACTGTGGAACAGATCAGCAATTGCTCATATGCAAGTTTAAGTTGAAACTGAAGAAAATTAAAACACTTTCACAAGAGTCAAAATATGACCTTGATTATATCTTATCTGAATTTATAGATCATTTGGAGAATAGATTTGATGCATTGACCACCAATGACTGAAGACCAGATGAATTGTAGGATGACATCAAGCATATACTATGTGAAGAAAGCAAAAGGTAATTGAAAAGACAGGAAAGGAAGAAAAGACCAAAATGGATGTAAGAAGAGACTCTGATATTTGTTCTTCAACAGAGTAGCTAAAATGAATGGAAGAAAAATGATGAAAAAACAGAGCTGAATAGAAGATTTCAAAGGGCAATGTGAGAAGACAAAATATTATAATAAAATGTGTAAAGACCTGGAGTTAGAAAACCAAAAGATAGTAACATACTCAGCATTTATCAAGCTGAAAGAACTGAAAAAAATTCAAGTCTCAAATTGCAATATTAAAGGATTCTGGGCAATAGATTGAATGATGCAGGAAGCATCAAAAGAAAAAGGAAGGAATATACAGAGTCACTGCACCAAAAAGAATTGGTAGATGTTCATCTATTTCAGGAGGTAGCGTATGAACAAGAACCTATGGTATTGAAGGAAGAAGACTAAGCAGCACTGAAGGAATTGGTGGAAAACAAAGCTCCAAGAATTGATGGAATACCTATTGAGATGTTTCAACAAAGGGGTGCAACACTGGAGGAACTTATTAGTTTATGCCAAGAAATTTGGAAGATAGCTACCTGGCCAACCAATTGGAAGAGATCCATGTTTGTACTCATTCCAAAGAAAGGTGATGTAACAGAATGTGGAAATTATTGAACAATATCATTACTATCATACGCAAGTAAAGTTATACTGAAGATGGTACAAAAACAATTTATGACAGCCACACAATGGAAAGCTATTCAGCAATAAAGAAAAAATAAACTGTTGACACATACAACGTCATGGATGAATCTCAAAATAATTATGCTGAGCTAAATAAGTGTACATTGTATATGACTGTATTTATATAAATTCTAGAAAATGCAAACTAACAGATTTTTATTTTCCTGGAATAATGGGAGAAGGATGGAGTGGAAAAGATTACAAAAAGTTATGAGGAGACTTTTAAGGATGACGGATATGTTTACTATAGGAATTGTAGTGACTGTTATCAGTGTACACATATGTCAAAACTTTTCCAGCTGTGCACTTTATATATGGTACTTTATTGTATGTGAATTCTACCTTAAAATTTTCTTTTCTTTCTTTCTTTCTTTTTTTTTTAATCTGGGAACTAGAAAGAGTTAATTGAACCATTGAGCTTGATGTGGTCTTGGATTCATTGGGAATTCATTTGAAGGTAAAGTTTAGTCTCTGACTTAGGGTAGAGATTTATGAGTGTCAGTGGGAGTTGTTAGAATATTTAAGGGCTTGGTAACTTTTTAGAGTTGTTACAGCTCTTTTTTCTTCACAACTCTGAAAATAACTTTAATTCTAATCTTTATCATGTTGTCCCATGATGCAGGGGCTTCTCTGTTTCTGCACAATTGGCAAGACCAAAAATTCTCTTTTTTATTTTTAGGTTCTACACTACTTCAAAAAACCAGGTGTTAAAGTCTAGATGCCCTCCATTGAAAGAGTATCTCTTTCCAAAAAATTTTACCTCTTCCCAGGCAATTAACATTCGTAAGTATCTACGTTTAAAAATATATGTTGATTTAAGGGAGATTATTTCTTCCTATGTATTTACATGTGCTGCAAATATATCCAGGAAGAGTAAAGCAAACAGGGGCCAAAGTTATGAAAACTTCTTAGTAATAACCAAATGCTTTGAAGGAATTAATCATGGGGTCATGGGGCTCAGGACTATAGTCCCAGGGAATACAAAGGTCAATTGGCATATCATAATCCACAAAAACAATTTCTACATCCTACTTTGGTGAGTAGCTACTGGATCTTAAAAACTTATGAATTACTATTTAATGGACCACATGAATCCCAGTCTTCATGACCCTGAGACCAAAAGAACTAGATGATGCCTGGCTACCACTACTGACCACTCTGAAAGGGATCACAATAAGAAGTCCCAGAGAGAGTGGGAAAAAAAAAATGTGGAACAAAACTCAAAATCATAAAAAAGATGAAGACTGTGGAACTCCTAAGACTAAGGTCCTCAACTACCCTTCAGTTTGGGAACTGAACTCAACCCTCATAGCTAAGCTTTTAGTCAAACAATAGACAGACCTAGAAGGTGAACAATAATACCAGGAAGATATGCACTCATAAGAACAATCAACCATAGATCAAAAAGGCAGCGTTTGCCCAGGGATAAAGCTCAGAAGGTGGGAAGGGGTGGGAAAGAAGGAAGAAGGGAATTGGCAAACACAGGAAGTGGGAAGGGTACTTTCACATTGTGATAACTGCAATGAATGTCACAAAAGAAAATATGTATGAATTATTCAATGTAAAACCAATTGGCTTTGTAAACTTTTGTCCAGATCACAATACTACTAATAATAAAGACAATGAAAAAATTACTAAGTACTTAAAATGATGTTAGCAAATTAATAAATTGTCTAAATTGGAAGTCAGAAGTGGTGATAGATTACTCTCAAATGGATGACACAATATTTTTATTTATTGTTTCATGCTTGCACTCTTATAATATCTATTTTCTTTGTATTTATCATACAAATATATTGTGCTTCCTCAAACTATGGATTTGTATAGTTCAGACCTATAATATTCTAGCTTCAGACATAATTCTTCAAAACTCTCTTTAAATATAAAGTCTAAATCATTCTTTTTTTTCTTTGCCTGAGAGGTGATAGGCCAAAATTTGGCTCCCATGAACTTTTCGAATCTTGGTGTTACAACTATGAATATATGTTGCACGGTACAAGCATCTTTGCAGATATAATTAAAACTACCGATCAATGGACCATAATATCCAAGATAAGTTGAGTGAGACCCATATAAACATACGAACTCTTAAAAGCAGACAACTTTCTCTGGCTGGAAGCAGAAGAGGTGCAGCAGAAGGATAATTTAGAGATTCCAAATGGGAAATGGATTTGCTGCACTGTTTCAGTTCTGAAATGTAGTGGGACATATGTGAGGGCAAGAGCAATGCCACTAGGAATTAGAGACAGCTCCCCCTTGACAGGCAGGAAACCTGGCACAAACAACCAAGGAACTGGACCCAGCCAACAACATGAAGGAGCTTGGAAATGGTTTATTTCAAAATTTTCCAGCAAAGAGCATAGCCCTTGACTTTAGTCCAGTAAGTCCCATGCAAGTTTCCAAACCTAAAGAACTATGAAATAATAAATTTGTGTTATTTTAAGCTACTACCTTTGTGATAATTTTTTATGGCAGCAAAATAAAACAAATATAGACATAGGCTAGACTCTCTCATTAAAATCTTTTCTTTAATTCTCTGATTTTTTCTGTCTTATCTCTTTAAGGAGATTTGATGAGCAGTGGTGAAGGTATTTAACTGCTAACCAAAAGGTCAATGGTTTGGATCTACAAGCTGCTCCTTGGGAAAAAGATGAGGCAATCTGCTTCTGTAAAGATTTACAGCCTTGAAAACCATTTGGGACAGTTCTACTCCATTCTATAAGGTTGCTATGTGTTGAAACTGACTCAGTGGAGTGGATTTGGTTTTGTTTTTTTGTCTCTCTTTACTGCATTCTGTATATTTCTACTTAAATTTCAATATTTTTGTCAATTGTGTATGTATTTAACTTGCCCTTTAAATTTGTACTTCAACAATTACAGTTTGTATTTCCAAAAGTTACAGTATTCATTAAATCTGTATATTCAAAAGGGACTATTTTATAATGTTTATTCATTGCTTTTGAAGTTTATTTTATTTCCTATATAGATCATCTGTATTACTTATCCAAATACCCCAATGTCTTTAAATCCTTCTTTGTCTAAATTTCTGGTTTCCTGTTTTTGTTTGCTTTCTAGAGTGTTTTTAATGTTCATTTGTGAATATATTTCTTGATATTTCAGTAGACTCCCATAGGCTCAACAAGGAAATTTCTGTTCAAAGTGTGTTTACATATACATCTGCCCATTTCAAGTGATACAACAGATACACGAACATTCAGATTTACTACCTTTCAAGGCCTCTGGCTTACAGCAAGTCCCAAATTCAGCATGCTCCCCTTGTGGAAGTTCACAGTTTAAGATCCCCCAGCAAACACACTACAGTAACTAGCCTCAAAAAGGCTCCACACCTCCTCACTGCCTTCCAATCCAGGAAAGTTCCCTGCTGCTCCATTTTGTCTCCCACTCTGCAACCTTCTTTACAGGTAATCCCAAATCCAAGATGCTCCCTCTCTGTTTCCTGTACACAGTCACCTGACCACTCAGACCTAGCTCTTGCCCTATATATAATCAGAAATTTCTCATAGAGTATGAATTAACCTCTGGATGTTGTAGACTATGAAAGTGTCCTAGAAAATCTTGTCACTACCATTTGCTGAAATAGATGCCTAAATGCTGTTGTTGTTGTTGTTATGTGCCGTGGAGTCAGTCCCCACTCATAGCGACCCCTCCTTGGGTTTCTGAGGCAGTATCACTACGGAAGTAGATTGCCCATCTTCCTTCCGAGGAGTGGTTGGTGGGTTTGAACCGCCAGGCTTTTGGCTAGCAGTCAAGTGCCTTAGCCACTATGCTACCAGAGCTCTCAGATGCCCAAATAGTGACTTTAAACAGGGTATATATCAAAACAACCTTGAAATATTACAAATATTTAGAGATTTCGACACAGTATTTCTGTAGTCGCTCCACATTTTTCAAAAAGTTGTATTAGCAAGTACAATGTGGATCACACATTGATCTCAGGATGCAGCAAACATGAAACACTCAATGTAGCATTCTCAGGGAGATAAAAGTATAACATTGAACTCAAGAATCAGCATTAGCTCACAATTACCATTCACATACAGTTTGAATTCCATGCCCACCCTATCGTAACTCTTAGAGTCCAAATGCTCAAAATTTACTTCTTACTGCTACCAAATAAGTCCTTTTGCCCAAACCAAAAGCCTTTCATGTTTCGTCTCTTGTTCACCTGATTCCTGCTTCTTGATATTGTTCATATCATTCTCTGCCTGGGTTTTCCTGATCTGTCAGCTCTGTTCTATCTTTGGATGCAAATGTCTTCTCTCAGTGTTGTTTAAAAGAAAGAAAAAACTCACTGCCGTAGCGTCAGATCGGACTCATAGTGACCCCCTCCTCAGGTTTCGGAGGCAGTCTCTGGTAGCATAGTGGCTAAGACACTTGCCTGCTAACCAGTTGGCTGGCGGTTCAAACCCACCAGCCACTCCTCAGAAGGAAGGTTGGGCAATCCTACTTCCGTAGTGATACTGCCTCGGAAACCCAAGGAGAGGTCGCTTTGAGTCGGGTTTGACTTGACGGCACATAACAACAACAACAACAACATCACTATGGAGGTAGATTGCCCAACCTTCCTTCTGAGGAGTGGCTGGTGGGTTTGAATTGTAAGCCTTCTGTTTAGCAGTCAAGTGCCTTAGGCACTACGCCACCAGAGCGTTAAATCACCCTTCACAGTACTTGTAACAGGGCAAGATTTCTCATATTTAATTCTTGTTCTGATATCCTAGAGCACTTTTACTGTATGTTCCCCTACATCGTTATACAACATTTTCTTAGGCATATGCCTTATTAGTACCAAATCATTTTAAAATTTTTTAGAATGAAGAAATAGATGGTGCTCGGCTACTACTGTCAACCATTTGGAAGAGGATCTTTGTAGGAGATCCTGGATAGACAGGGGGAACAATGTGGAACAAAACTCAAAGCCATTTGGAAAAAAAAAAAAAAAAAGCAGGGAACTTTTTTTGCTGGCCCCATGGAGCCTGGTGGAACCACTGAGATTATGGCCCCTAGCTGCCCTTCAGTTCTGGAACTGAACACACACCTGTGGCTTCCAACCAAGCAGTAGACAGGCATACTAGTTGAGCATTTACCTGAGGTAGATACACTCCTTGGAGAGAACAAGCAAGAGAGAAAGAAGGGCTGCTCAGGCACTGGGAGACAGCTCAGGGGGTAGGAGTGCATGGAGGGATAGTCACAGGGAGGCGGTACCTATTGAGAGGAACTGGGAGAGGAGATGTTGCATTGTGCTAAATTGTGGTCAATGTCATGAGACAAAGTGTATGTGATCTGCTGTATGGAAAGTGTATTTGCTCTGTAAATTTTCACGCAAATCACAATAATTTTTTTTTTTTTTTAATTTAGAGTGGAGTCTTAGTCTTTTCTTATCTGTTAATGTTCTCCACATTTCTTAACCCAGAATGGAGAGCAAATAGTTTATTACTGAGAGCACAGTACTGAATGAAGAGGCGCCTCTACCTGGCAAGGCTCAGAACCACTGATACTTAATCTTCCTATTCAAAAGATAGAGATACATTTTGTCTTGTTTAAGATAGAGGATCATTTTGAAAAGTCAATGAAATAAGGGATATGAGGAATTTATAAGCACTTTACAAAGAAAGAGGAGCTCTGGTAGAGCATTCAACTGCTAACCAAAAAGTCAGCGATTTGAACCCCCCAGTCTCTCTATGGGAGCTCTGTAGGAGAAAAATGAGACAGTCTACTTCTGTAATGATTTACAGCTTTGGCAATCCTAGGGTATAGTTC